TTTTTTTTTTAATGTGTATGTGCAGATCCTAGGGCTTGAACTCAAAGCTTGGGCACTGACTGTCCCTTAGCATTTTTGCTCAAGGCTTGCACTTTACCACTTGAGGCACAGCTCCATTTCTGGCTTTTTGGTGGTTAATAGTCTGCCCTGGCTGGCTTTGAATCTTTTTTCTTTCTTTCTTTCGTCATTCGTGGGGCTTGAACTCTGGGCACTGTCCTTGAGCTCTTCAGCTCAAGGTGAGCACTCTACCACTTGAGTCACAGCGCCACTTCTGGTTTCCTGGTAGCTAATTGGAGATAAGAGTCTCACGCAATTTCCTGCCCTGGTTGGCTTTGAACCTTGATCTTCTAATTTCAGCCTCCTGATTAGCTAGGATTCCAGGCATGAGCCTGGCAATATCTACAATTTAAAGCTGAGGGAACTGATAAATGAAGAGGTTAGGCTTCCTTACCTGTGAGATCATACTAGCCAGTGTGCATTAGAGCCAGGGTACAGAGAGCAATCTGTGCAAGCTCTGGAGCAGGGCTCCCTCCAGTCCTTTGTGTCTAGCATGTAGGTGAAGCCTGGGCCCTGATAGAGCAAGTACGGTGACTGTTAACTTGACCACCGCTGGGGATTTCAGGAGATACTGATGAGCCTTTTAGTGACAAGCCAACGTGCCACATGTGGACCCACAGAGGTTTCTAGAAAAGAGGGAGACCAGGAGAGGGACCTGTTGAAGGAGGAGGGGAGCAAATGATAGAAATGTATAAGAGAAAAATGGCAAATGATGGAAGAAAAGGAAGAAGGTCAGGGAAAGATGCTGAGGAACTGGTACAAGGCTTTCTGGGAGGAAGTAGAGGTGATGGGAAAGGAGAAAAGATGTGAGTGGGAATGAAAAAAGTCCCATTGGTATTCCTCCTATGCATCCTTTGCTTGGTCCCAGGAGCAGAAGAGGTGGGCCAGGTTGGGGGCAAGTGGTGTGCACACAGAAGCCATCTGCTGCCATCTGCTCTGGGTCGAAGGGGGGGGGGCTCCGTTAGCAGTGGCTGCCTCCTCCTACCCCTACTCACTTCCATTATTATAGGGCGAAGCTCCTCTCTGCCCAGTGACCCTCTGTGACCTGGCTTGCTCAGCGCTGCCCTGGGAATAAGAAAAGGGATTGGGGAGGAGGCAGGTGGAGAACGTGGTGACAGAGAAAGAGGGCCAGAGCAGATGCAGGCTGAATGGGCCTTTTTCATCTTTGTCTATCTGCCCAATCTGTTCTCGGCCATTTCTCTGGTTCCAACCCCGGGAGGGGCTCTTCCCAGCAGTACAATTCTCTTCTCTTTTCCTCTCTCTCTAGGCCTCTCCTTGAAATTTCTGACAACCTCAAAGTGTCATCTTTTGTTCAAGTTTCTCTCCTCCCATTATCTGTGAGCCTACTCTAGATATGCAGGCCTGGGGAAGCATCTTTGCCATGGCTGGGAAAGATGCATCTTTGCCTTGCAAGTGCCCACCAGCATGTTGGGAAGGCTGCTGAAAGGTCAGAGAGAAGGCTGACTGTCAGCACTGTGGGAGAGAAGGGAATGTAGGCACAGTCTAAGATCTGGGTGGCACCTAATGATCTCTGTTCTCACCACAGAAAACTTGATAGCAGATGTCCTTCTGCTGGACAACCCCAGGTATGTGAGCCAAAAGGTGATTTGTAGGGCCGAGGCATACATACGTTCAGTGCGTTTGTCTGACTGGGGTTGCTGTCCAACCTTCCTTTGGAGCAAATGACTAGGGACCCTACAACCATCAGCAGGGGAGAGACTGGGTGGAATGGGTGACACTGGGTGATGTGTATACAAATCCACTCACTCTTCTTTCTGGCTAAGGGACCACAGACAATTCACTTTCTGTTTTTTTTTAATCGTTATTATAAAGGTGATGTACAAAGGGGTTACAGTTACGTATGCTCAGGCCTATTTCTCTTGCCTTCTTGGGGGCAATTGTTATTGTTTTCTGTAATTAACCTCTTTCCTTTAACTTCAGTTCCTCTTGCTCTGCAAGTCTTCTCTGGTCAGATCAATGGTTAAATATACTCAAAGCTATCTTGAAAAAGAAATAGACAAAAAAAACCCTCCTTTGACCTTCTGTTTCCTCCCAGCTTTGTTGTCCAAGCTCTGCTCCACTCCTTTCTCGGCTAAATCTTATGCAGTATTATCTCCTAATCCTTACAAAGACCCACCAAACTTGGGACCTAGCTTAATAGAGGTGACTGTACCTTATCTAGCTTGGGGCCAGACCATTTCAATAGCAAGGCTGTCTTGATAAATACTTTAAAGGAAGGTAGAAATTTAGTATTCTTTCCTTATCTGTAACTACATTTAACTTGCTCTAAGCATCTATTTTTGTCCGACAAAAAGCAAAATAAGATCTGATAGGATCGACAAGCTTGGAATTCTCTTATTCTAAGAATTTAGTTTCTTCTGGCTTAAAAACAACAAGGGACTATTCTGAGTCATTTTCCAGTTCATCATCTAAATAAGTGCTATGATGGAAGGCCCTCCTCGTTTCCTTTCCTCTCCACTCCCTAATTGCAGGGAAACTGTGGAGAGGGCAAGTGCTGTATGACCTTGCTGAGTGATATCTGAAATTGCTGATCTCATAGAGATTGAGACTAGGATAGTGGTGACCAGACTCTGGGAGAGAAAGGAGGAAGGAATCAGGAAAGATTGATTAAAGGGTACTGAATTTGAACTCAAGACTTTGCACTTGTGATTTTTAGCTTTTTTTTTTTTTTTTGTCGGTCATGGGGCTTGAACTCTGGGCCTGGGCGTTGTCCCTCAGCTCTTCAGCTTAAGGCTAGCACTTTACCACTTGAGCCATAGCACCACTTCTGGTTTTCTGGTGGTTTACTGGAGATGAGCGCTTCATGGACTTTCCTGCCCCGGCTGGCTCTGAACCGCGAGCCTCAGATCTCAGTTTCTTGAGTAGCTAGGAGCCACTGGCGCCCAGCTGTGATTTTTAGCTTTAAAGAGAATTAAATCTCTGTAATTTAAAGCTTAGCTCCGAGAGCTCCCGAAATCTCCTCCTCTTTTGTCATGTCTCTGTAGCTTTTATAACTATTCTTCTAGTATAAACATTAAAATACCTGGTTTGAATCAAGTATAGGGGATCATACCTGTAATTTCAGATCTCAGGAAGTTGAGCCAAGAGGATCACAAGCTCAAAGTCTGCCTGGGCTATGTAGTGAGTCCCTGTCTCAACAATTCTGAAAGACAAAGATGATAATGACTCTGTGTGTGTGTGTGTGTGTGTGTGTGTGTGTGTGTGTGTGCGCGCGCGTGCATGCGCGCGTGCGTGCACGCAAACCCATCATGGGGCTTGAACTCAAGGCCTAGGTGTTGAGCCTAAACTTTTTTGCTTTAGGTTAGCACTCTACCACTTGAGCCACAGCTTCAGTTCCAGCTCTTTTTTGTGTCTACACTTAATTAGACCTAAGGGTCTCATGGACTTTCCTGCCCCAGCTGGCTTTGAACCATGATGCTCAGATCTCAGCCTCCTGAGTAGTAGTATTATAGGTATGAACCACTGGCTTCTGGCTATAATAACTTCTTTAATTAGGAGAAATAAGTGATGCAGGAAAAGCACAAACAAACATTTAAATACAGGATGACACCAATAATCTGTTGAATGACCCTGGTAGGTGCACTGGCCTGGTACATATTGGTGGACCTCAGATATCCAAGTCATCTATCATCTGGAATTAAGATTTTTCAAACTTGTGCCCTTCTAGTGAATTTTAGAACAGTCATGAAAATGTCCACTGGAGTCATTCCTAACCATGCAGAACTTCTCTGTTCTATGGGTATCTGGACTTCCTCTCTAGAAAAGCTTCCTTTCTAGAAAGCTATGGCTGTCATTAGATTAGAAAAGAAATGCTTTGAAGGTTAAATATTTATTTTTTAAAAATCTTAAGGTAAAAACATTAACCAGAAGCATGGTCTATTAATAAGAATTATTTCCCTTTCGACTTGCTGCTTATCTTGTACTGGCTAGAGGCTTCGCTTGGCAATACATCTGACACTGATTTCATAAGGATGAAAGGCTGTGTTTATCAATAAGTTATTTGGTCAAAAATTATAATCAGGGGCTGGGAAGGTGGCTCAGTGGTAGAGTGCTTGCCTTGCATGCATGAGGCCCTGGGTTCGATTCCTCAGCACCACATAAGCAGAGAAAGCCGGAAGTGGGGCTGAGGCTCAAGTGGTAGAGCGCTAGTCCACAGCTGAAGAGCTGAGAGACAGTGCCCAGGCCCAGAGTTCAGGCCCCTCGACCGACCAAAAAAAAATTGAAAAAAAATTATAATCAACCCCAATTAAAACTTATAATCTGCAAGGCCAATCTTAAAGAATGCATGGAATACAATATCAAAATACAGGGCCTCTAGAGGTTTCTAAAAGAGGCAGGGAATCTGTCCATAGGGCACAGCGGCATTGCTGGCTGAATTTCCCTATGGTGTGGGCTTCCAGGTGGCTTTCTGACAGCAGTGGAGGCTTGGCTGGGAGGCAATCACATTCCTCCCTAAGTTGTCTTATGACAGATTGTGTTTCTCAGGATGTGTACTTGGATTAGGTTAAGGAATAGATTGCATATTTCAACCATGGCCTCAATGCGCAACATAGGCTCACCAGGACCCTGGGGAAAGACAATGCTGCCTTAGCGGACAGATGATAATCACTGAAGACTTCTTAGAAGTTGAGACGAAATACATATTTGCCATTGTTATGGCTTCATAAACACTACTCTCCAACGTCACTATGGTCCTTGGTCAAGGAGCATGGCTTGCTTTGAGGGTACCCATGTGTCACTGAGAAGCGTGGAGGAGCAGTGGGCTTGGACTCTGTGTGTGTGTGTGTGCGTGTGTGTGTGTATGTGTGTGTGCGTGTGTGTGTGTGTGTGTGCTCACATTATCACTACCTTTTCCTTGTAAGATCTCTGAACATTAGCTTCTTCCTATTTCTCTTCTCTTCTGCCTCCTCCCACATCCGCAGATGGAGTGGCTGCCTTCCGCGCTTTCTTGAAGACGGAGTTCAGCGAGGAGAATCTGGAGTTCTGGTTAGCCTGTGAAGAATTCAAGAAGACCAGATCAACTGCAAAGCTGGTCTCCAAGGCCCATAGGATCTTTGAGGAGTTTGTGGACGTGCAGGCTCCGAGAGAGGTGTGTTGTCTGTGGTGACTACCTTGTCAGATCTCTGTTTAGGACTCTTAGCTTGCATCTGTTTCCTCAGAAGATTTCGGAGATAGGTTTTCTTTCACTACACTGAGCCTCACTGCTCTGTAGCTCTTGATGAAAAAGGAATTTTTTTTTTTTGGAGCTGGTCCTGGGGCTTGAACTCAGGGCCTAGGTACTATCCCTGAGCATTTTTGCTCAAGGCTAGTGCTCTAGCACTTGAGCCAGGTTCCACTTCCAGCTTTTTGGAGATAAGAGTCTCATGGTCTTTCCTGCCCAGTCTGGCTTTGAACCTCAATCCGCAGATCTCTGCCTCCTGAGTAGCTAGGCTTGAGCCACGGGTACCATGCTGAAAAAGAGATTATTTCTAAGGAGCAGAAGCTCAGGGCTTCTATCAGAGGGGGGGCCATTAGGAGAATTTGGCTGTCGATGCTGGCAGGAACTATGTTGCTAGAGGGACTTTGCAAGTATAGATGTCATTGAGTCTCTGTTTGTTTTTCTATTAAAAGACAGCGTAGTTTAATGGAATAAATATTTGTTTTGGGATTTTGTTCCAGGCTCAGCTCTACCACTAACTAGCTAGCTGTGTGATTTGGGTCAAGTTAGTCACTTTCTGGGCTCCTCCCCTGCCCCCATGTAAAAGGCAGGATTATTGTCTTTCAAGACCACTGTGAATATTTAGAGATGAAGAACCTAGTCAGTATTTGTCACTATTTATTAACAGTCATTTAGTTGTGATAGTTATATACAATAAGGTGAATTGATTTGTTATACAAAATTTTACTTGGGAGCTTTTAACTGAAGAGCTGTATTTGCTGCGTCTGAGTTCAGGCACACCGCTCACCTAGAGCTCTTTGCTTCCGCTTTGACTGGTTATACATGAGGTCTTTCCTGGCTATGATGCCCCCTATGATGTTAGTGGGAATAGAGATGTACGTTTTAACTAGAGTCTGGATCTTTAGGGCACCTGCTCCCTTAGTAGTTAAGAAGAGAAAAGAGGGCTAGTTTATGAGAATGGCCATTACCACCTGGCTTAAGTCTAATCCCATTCTGATGTGAAGACCCTAGGATTAAGTGTGGACTGATGTGGAGGGTTTTTGTTTTGTTTTTGCCTTGGCTCTTGTTACTTAGACAAGTTTTCCTAATCTCTTTTCTTCAATGTCTTACTTAAAAATAAAAATTCAGAATGTCTGGCCTTTAGGCCACACAGGACTCTTGCTGTCATCCCAAAAGACGAGTCTCATGGCCCAGTTTGGAAAGCACAAATAATCTTAAAGACATAAGATGCCATCATGAATGGTTATTACGTAGCTGAGTTGCCAGATGCTATGGTCCTCCAGGGCCTGTGACCTTGCTCTCTGTTTGTGTCTCCAGGTAAACATTGACTTCCAGACCCGAGAAGCCACGAGGAAGAATATGCAGGAGCCATCCCTGACTTGTTTTGACCAAGCCCAGGGAAAAGTACACAGCCTGATGGAGAAAGACTCTTATCCCAGGTTCCTGAGGTCCAAAATGTACTTAGATTTGCTGTCCCAAAGCCAGAGGAGGCTCAGTTAGACCTCAGATGGAGACTCTTGGAAATCACTGGCTTTTTCCTCCCCTTGCTGCCAAGACCATATTCTAATGTAAAGTGTCATAGGTGTTCAAAGGCGGTGACATTCCGGATGGGAGACTAGGGCTGAGGAGGGGATGAGGAGCCATTCCAAAGTATGACCCGGCTGCCAGAGCTTGGACTCTCTCTCATCCATTTACCCACATTTGTGTTTTGGTTAGTGGTAGCACTGCCCGCAGTTACCCTTGTCTGGGTGGGTTAGCAGCCTGCCCTTCCTAATGCCTTGGGTCATCTCCACTGAGAAGGCAGATTTGCTGCGCTGGGCTAATCTGTAAATAATGCAAATGCAATTTCCACCACCTCCACATCCTCATCAGTTAGGATTCCTGACTCTTCACATGTCCTTTCCCACTGAGAGGAGAAGTAGAAAGACTCAGGCTTTCACTCATGACTCCTTGTCACCATGGAATGCCCTCCCCCCTCCCCAGGTGTGTTGGGACCTATCAGCCTAGAAGAACTGTCTCTTCAGAATCTCTGGGAGAGAGTGTAAACTCCCTGGAGTCAGATTGTCTTCCATATCCACTGGACCAGTGTGACAACCTAGGATCACTACCATCTTAGCCTGGGAAACTCAAAGAACTTTCTTACCCTTGTTATTTCCAGGAAGGGTCTTGAGAGATTTCCTTTGTGACTTCTAAGTGGAGCTATCATTAGAAAGAGATGACTCACAAATCTTCCTCAATTCTACCAAGAACTTTTCCAGAAGTTGAATGACCAGGGAATGTAGCACCATAGATTTGTGCAATGGGGTTGAGTATAGTCTGTCTGTTGCTTAGTATGTTCTCTGCCCTTGCCTCTCAGTGGTACCACACATCATGGATCTCTTAGGATGAAAGACAGCATGACAAAAAGAGGTGAATTCTCACAGTATGACAGCTCTCTGAGTGCCTAAAACTTCCCTTGTTCTCCACCTCTCCTGTACTACCATGCAGGCCATATAATTATTGATGAGGGTGGGGGAGGATGGGAACTTAGGCTGAAATTCTCTTTCCAGCTTGCTTCCCAGGATCATAGTTCCTTAGAAAGGTCCCTTTCTTGGCTATTGAAACATAGCTACCTTCTTGGTCTCTGGGCCTCAGGATTGATTGGACATGAAATAGGGAGATCACTACGAACATCTGGCTGTGAAGATCTTCCTAAGATGCTTTCATGAAACCCCGATCTTGGAAATGTGTCTGGAGACTCTTCCTTGGAGAATGCATGAAGCAACACAGAAACTTCTCTTTGCAACCTAAGGGGAGGGGGGTGAAGAAAACCTCAGTTTGCTACACAGTAGTACCAAGGAAATGAATCAGCACAGAAACAAGAAGGTGTAAGAAGAGCCTGGAAAATGCTAGTGTCTGGGTGAACTGAGCCATGGAGCATGTGCTGGAGGTACTCCTGAGATAATTCACTACCAATGGACTTGGATTCATTGCATAGCTACAAACCTTGTGGCTTGATTGAACAGCACATGGTTAGGCTTCTCTGGAGTGCAAGTGGTTGAGAATTGGGCTGATCCGCTCTCCTTCCATGGCATGTTGGCCTTTTCAGATTATGCTGGTATGCCAGGGTGTGCATTCTTCTCTAGTAACTCGAAGCACTGCTTTCCTTTTTGGCCCCAGCTAGACAAAGGCAAGCAGGCCTTTGAGTTCCATTAGGTTAATACCTACTGCCTATGTCATGGCATATGATCATCTGTGAGTGGGAAGTGGTGTGTCTATGTGAAACGCAAGGAGAGAAAACAAACCAACAAACATCTGTTTCCTATGCCTCCTACTGAAGATACTTGTACAAGTTCACATTTAAGGACTCTGAATCCTAGTTAGATCAGTAGCATCTTCCACGCCAGGTAAAACAAAACCATCAACACATTCTTAATGAAAGCTGCCAGAATTGATGTAACGATTAAATTCTCCAACAGGGTATTTTTAAAATGCTGTTTACATATGAATTGTGTATCTTCTGCCAACTCTCTTCTGTCAAATATGAGGTGCGTATCGGTTGAACTGCACAGTTATGAAAATGTCCAGAGAAGGGCCTTTGCAGAATCCTGAAGAGAAGGGTCTAACCAAGACCTTTCGGTTGACTTCATTTAGGGCCTAGAGTTCTTGCCACGGATTGGTGGAATGCAGGCTGCAGATGGTGATGTCACGGTGCCCTGGCAACTCGCTCCCACAGTGGGAGGTGGGAAGGACCAAGCTTGGGTATCCTGAATTTTGCAGCTAGACAAGGGCATGTCATGTGGGTGTATGTCTGTGTGTAGAGGAACATAATAGTTCTATTTATGGCACTCCTGTAGAGCATCTTGTGTGTGTATGCGTGTGTGTGTGTACGTGTGACAATTGTGAGCACTGGACTAGTAATTGCAGATGTGATCTTCCCAGGGGGTGGCTTTCCTTACAGCTTGTACTCTCTGCTTCCTACAAAAGGCCCAGAGCTCCCTGCTCTGATGCTTACTTTTAGGCACTTTGGTCATGCCAATATCCAGATTTTGTTCTGTGATTAAAACAAAGAGAAATGTTTACAACATCTAGAGCAATAGCCAAGCATACCTCATCCTCGACCTTCCATGTTTCCCAGCCCCGCCCCTTCTCCCCTCTCCTCCTCTATCAGCCTCATCTGCCTCACTTACTAGGCTGGCATCTCAGATGCTGGTTCCATCTGCCGTCTTCCTGCTCCTCATGCTGAGCATGTGCCGATGACCACCTTCCGGACTCAGAGCAAACCCGGGCAGCAGGATCGCTGAGCTGTGCGTTTCAGATCTGCTCTCGATTGCTCAGTCTCACCGGAGCATGGATCCATTGCGTGGCTGGTGTTAGATTTGAGTTGCCCTTGGTGGACAAGTAGAATATAATTGTCAACAGCCATTTATAGCCCAGATACCTCTGAGGTGAGTAAAGATAATCTTTTGAGGTAGTATTTCTTATAAAATGTGAGTGTGCACAGGGATTGAAAAAAACAAACAACAAACAACAGCCAAACCAAAAATGCTCCCCCTCCATACCCCTCCCCAAACCCTGTCAAAATGCTGATTTCCAGGTTCTATGCCCAGAGATGCTGAGCCTGTAGACTAAGGGTAGAACCCAGAAATCTTCATTTTTCCATAAGCCTCCTGAGTATACACGTAGTGGCCTGTGGACTTTGAACAAAGATGGTCTAAGAAATGGGCTCTCAATCTTGGCTGCTCATTAGACTCACCTTGGAGCATTCAAAACCCAGTTGTCAAGAAAGGTGCTGGTGGCTAATGCCTGTAATCCTCACTACTTAGAAGCCTGAAATCTGAGGATCATGGTTCAAAGCCAGCCAAGCCGGAAGTCCATGAGACTCTTATCTCTGATTAACCACCAGAAAAAGCCAGAAGTGGAGCTGTGGCTCAGGATGTACAGGGCCAGACTTGAGTGAAAAAGCTAAAGGACAGTACCCAGACCCTGAGTTCAAGTTCAAATTCAAGTACTGGCATAAAAAAAAAAGGAAAACCACCCCTCCCATCCAACAACAACAACAACAACAACAATTGTTCAGGTTCCACCCCAGAACAGTGTTAGCAGGGATCCAGGTGGCAGTAGTCTCCACTGTAGTAAGGAAGCACTGGCTTAAGGAGAGGAGAAACAGAGTCCAGAGCAGCACATGGCCGTGGGTCTGAGGGCACTACAGCCCATCCAGATACAAAAAAGCACAATAACCAGGACTCCCGCCTACTCTGGAGTTGGACTCCTGGCCTCTGTGCCCACTCAGGCTGACTTGCTCCTTTGAGACCAATGCTTGGACCCAAGCTACACGCCCTGGTTGGCAGAGGTGGGCTAAAGGTAGGCGAGTGCAAGTGGCACTTAACTGAGAGAAGCTTTGCTCTGCTTTCCCGGTCTTGCTCTCAGCGCTTCCCCGAGGCTTGCTGGCCTCATGGGCGGTGTCTCCCATTGGTTGGTTTTTATGTACTTGTGTGTTTGGTCATGTAGTGTCAGGCTGTGCCGCTGTACCCAAGGCCAGGGTAGCTGGAGTTCAGGTAGTGAATGCAGAGTGTTCTTGGTAGTGATAATAGGAGGTCTACAACAACTTCTAAATTTTTTGGTGGAGGGTGTCACATGCTGGGGAGTGCGAATTCAAGACTACATTATTCCCTCTTCGGTCCCCATCGGATAGGCAGCAGGGAAGCGGCTAGCTGGCTTTACTCTCTGGTGCTCTCCCCAGAACTTGCTGCTCTGACAAACCAAACCTGTGAAAGGGGGTTTTGCCCAGGTGGCAGGGCCAGCCTCTGGGTGGGGCAGGGCCTGTGTGTACAGCAGGATCTTGGTACGCCCTGGATCCTCAGGCTCTGGACAATGAAGGGAAAGCAGAAGCCTCTTGTGCTGCTGACAGCAGGAGGAGGCTTGGCATGGGAAAAACTAAGAGAAAGGAACGAGGAAGGAAGGACAAGCTGCTGGCATGGTGTCCCATCCTTCCATGTCCCACAGGGACAGATGACACGGGGCACATTCAGAAGCAGAATGGTCTCCCATCAAGAGGAGTACCCAGATCGCTGCCTAGCCTGTCCATCCCCACTTCCAAGCCAGACAGAGGAACTGTTGGTTTCCCATCCTCGACCTTCAATCTGCCACATGTCAGTCCACCTTTGATCAGAACCCCTCTGCATTCAAACAAGACAGGTGGCAATGTGACTCCTGGCACAGAGAGCCTGTGCCACTTGGCATGAGACTGGGGAGAAGGAGCCAAGAGCTGAGATGTCTTCCTGTCCCTGTGGCCTCTCAGGACTCTACAAGATGCTGTGGGTCACGATGGGCGACTTCAGAATTAGGGCCACTGGCCTCCGTGGGTGTGAGATGTGTTCCCTCTCAATAAACTGTCCCTTTCTTCATTTTTACCCCTTCCAGTCCTTCTGCTCCCTCCTCTCCGCCAGATGTGGAAAGGTGGCTGAGCTCCGTGTGTGCACCGGCCACAGTAGTTTTAGCTGCGTCTCTAGCAAGCACAACAGATCTGTAGCAGCTCATCTGCCATATAAAACGCTTGGCTGACGGAGTCGTCATTGAGTTGTTTCATTACTATGTAAGGTGGAACAATGTCATTCACCTTTACTATAAACAAGGCTGTGAGAACATAATAAACAGAATCTGAACAAGCTGCCCTTTGCTCTCTGCCCACATTTCTGGCCGGCTGACTCTTTATGAGGGAACTTTACAGAACACGTGGACTCCTGAAGGGAGCATGCAGCCTTAGTC